GAAGGGGGACGAGGCGATGGTCAACAATGCAATGCAGGTACTGACAGGACACCCCTTCTCTGTAAAGTGAGAAATTGGTCAAGCAAGATTCTGAGAGGAGAAAATACGATATCGTCGTTATCGGCGAAGAACCTCACGTTGCTTACAACCGAGTCGGCCTTTCCTCGTTTTTCGAACATCGCAATATCGAGGATCTCTACCTCAACCCGAAAGAATGGGTAAGGATACCACAGCTTCTCCGTGAACTCAGTGCAACATTCGTTCTGACGTCAATGGGCGGATGTATTAGTATGGATCATTCAAAGACCGATCGTTCGACTATCATCTCAACACCAGAGTGACCGATATATTTCCTGACCGCAAAACGGTAAAAACCTCAACGGGTGACATAATTGCCTACGATCTTCTTGTTCTCGCTACCGGCTCTGATGCGGTACTTCCCACTCATACTCCCGGTTACGATGCCACCGGGGTTTTTGTCTACAGAACAATATCAGACCTCGAGCGCCTTATCGAATTTGCTTCGAAGCACAAGGGCGAGACGGCAACTACTGTCGGAGGTGGTCTATTGGGACTCGAAGCCGCCAAAGCAATGACGGATCTAGAAGATTTTGGCAAGGTCAAGCTCATTGACCGCAACAAGTGGGTTCTGGCAAGGCAACTAGACGGCGATGCCGGTACCCTAGTGACGCGGAAAATCAGAGAACTGGGCTTGGATGTGATGCACCAGAAGCGAGTAGCAAAGATTAAGACAGATGACAACAACAATGTCACTGGTATCGTCTTTGAGGATGGGGAGGAAATAGATTGCTGCTGCGTCTGCTTTGCTGTACGTCTAGCCGCATCTCACATACATTCAAATTGCTAACATTACATATAGATCGGCGTTCGTCCTAGAGATGAGTTAGGGACGTCTGCTGGTATTCAGTGCGCCTCGCGGGGTGGGTTTGTTATTAATGAAAGGTAAGTACCGTCGTGGTTTCGAGTCTTCTATCTTCTAATCTCATCATGTAGCCTACAAACCTCAATCCCCGAGATTTACGCTATCGGAGAGTGTGCAAGCTGGGAAAACCAGACATTTGGTATTATTGCACCTGGCATTGAAATGGCAGATGTGCTAGCGTTCAATTTGACCAATCCCGATAAGGAATCAAAGGGCTTTAGGCGACCAGATTTGAGCACTAAGCTGAAGCTCTTGGGGGTGGATGTCGCCAGTTTTGGTGACTTCTTTGCGGATCGCGATGGGCCCAAGTTCCTGCCAGGCCGAAGACCATCAGTCGCAACCGTTCCGCGGGTCAAAGACACGACGGAAAAGGAGCAACCAGTGAAGGCGCTTACGTACAAAGATCCTTTTGGTGGTGTCTATAAGAAATACTTATTCACTATGGACGGTAAATACCTACTCGGAGGAATGATGATCGGCGATACAAAGGACTATATCAAATTGAACCAATTGGTAAAGAGCCAGAAAGAACTCGAAGTGCCTCCGAGCCAGTTCATTCTGGGAGCCGAAACTGGCGGGGAAGAAAACGGTGATGATCTGTGAGTTTTCTCTCAAATATCTCGATGCAACGGGTCTGCTGACTATTGTTTGTACAGCGCCGACGATACCCAAGTTTGCGCATGTCACAACGTTACCAAAGGCGACATCGTTGAAAGTGTCAAGAGTGGTACATGCAAGTCAATTGGAGAGGTCAAGTCATGCACAAAGGCAGGCACTGGTTGTGGAGGTTGTATGCCGTTGGTGCAATCTATTTTCAATAAGACCATGCTTGATATGGGCCAGGAGGTTTCGAACAACTGTAAGTATCCTTGGCTGTGAACTGAGGTCTTGTTCTAACTTTATATAGTATGTGTGCATATTCCACATTCGCGCGCTGACCTCTACAATATCGTCGCTATCAAGCAGCTGAAAACATTCGAAGACATCATGAAGGCAGTTGGAAGAAACCCCGATTCTCTTGGGTGTGAGTTGTGCAAGCCTGCTATAGCGTCAATCCTTTCAAGTCTCTTCAATGGGCACATCATGGACCACGAATATCATGAGCTACAAGAAACGAATGACAGATTCCTGGCTAACATCCAACGCAACGGAACTTTCTCTGTGGTCCCTCGAGTACCCGGCGGTGAGATCACTGCAGACAAGCTAATTGCTATCGGCCAGGTGGCCAAGAAATATAACCTTTACTGCAAGATCACGGGTGGCCAGCGTATAGACATGTTTGGAGCCAAGAAACAGGACTTACTTGATATCTGGACAGAATTAGTCAATGCCGGCATGGAAAGTGGCCACGCTTATGCCAAATCACTCCGGACAATCAAGGTATGTGAACGCTATCTGATTTCATATATTCTACATAGAGCTAACTGGTATATCTAGAGCTGCGTCGGAACTACCTGGTGCCGCTTCGGTATTGGAGACAGTGTCGGGATGGCTATTAGACTTGAGGAACGCTACAAAAGTGTCCGATCTCCTCACAAGCTTAAGGGTGCCGTGTCCGGTTGCGTGAGAGAATGCGCCGAGGCACAAAACAAAGAGTATGCTTGCTTCTTTCGAAATAGTCTGTCCCAAAACTAACGCATTTTAGCTTTGGCTTGATATCTACAGAAAAGGGGTTCAATATCTTCGTGGGCGGGAACGGCGGTGCAAAGCCTAGACATTCGGAATTACTCGCCAAGGATGTGCCACCAGATATGGTCATTCCAATTATTGATCGGTATCTTATTTTCTACATCCGAACGGCAGATAAATTGCAGCGAACTGCTCGGTGGATCGAAAACTTGCCTGGGGGAATCAATTACCTTCGGGAAGTCGTCATTGACGACAAACTGGGAATCTGCGCTGAGATGGAGCAGCAAATGCAGGAGTTGGTCGACAGCTATTTCTGCGAGTGGACTGAGACTCTCCGCAATCCGAAGCGCCGCAAGTACTTCCAGCAGTTTGCCAACACCGATGAGACGGTGGACACAGTGGAACTGGTCAAAGAACGTGATCAGGAACGACCTACCTACTGGCCAAGCGAGGGCGCAAAGGAAGACTTCAAGGGGCACCAGTGGTCGGCTCTCTCATGGCAGCCAATTCTCAAAGCTGATCATTTCTCGGATGGACCTCCTGCGATCTCCTCGGCCAATGTCAAGCGGGGAGACACCCAGCTGGCAGTCTTCAAGGTCAAGGGTAAGTATTATGCAACGCAACAGATGTGTCCCCACAAGCGTGCCTTTGTCCTGTCCGATGGTCTGATCGGCGATGATGACGCCGGCAAATACTGGGTGTCTTGTCCATACCACAAGCGTAATTTCGAACTTAATGGCGAGCAAGCCGGCCGTTGTTCAAACGATGAGGATATGAATATTGCCACTTTCCCAGTTGAAGAACGGGACGATGGCTGGATCTACCTGAAGTTACCTCCCGTCGAGGAGCTGGACTCCGTGCTGGGGACTGAGCGATGGAAAGTGAAGAAAGGAGAAGCGCCCGATCCATTCCAGAAGTGTGATAAGAAGTATAAGGGAACGAGAGGCAAGAAGGCGGGTGATAGACCTAGCCCGACCAAGCAATCTAAGACGATTGACTGGTGATGGAACCAATGTGATACGTGTTACGAGCTTTGATATCTGGCGTTGTGGATCTTGCTGGCAGGGCCTTCATCTACTTTTCTTCCTTCTACTGTATCTAAAGCCAACTAGCTAGTAGTTAATTCATGAACTGTGAACTACCAAATACCTTGTTTCATTCTATACTGAAGCAGCCATACTGGATCTTATTCTAACCAGGAATGGACCACCATAGCCATGACTATTCCCGAACTATCCCGCTATTACAGAATGGTCTATAGACGATACCCTTGGAGGTATAGCCAAGAAAGGCATCAAAGGCCCTCGACCTTAGGGCAGGCCATGTCACGTTACCGACCAACTTTTGTGACCGACTCACCGTCCAATCCTATTTGGCGGATTTCATTTCTGACGCTTATCTCTTAGACGTGAGATAGCGGTGGACCCGACCAAAGTCTCTCATTATCTATACTCATGATAGTCTCCGGGACCCATAGACGATCCTTCACAGCCCCATCGGAGGCTTTAAGAAGTGGGCTCTCCCCTTGACATCTCCGCGGACCTCGATCGAGTCTGTCTCGCTATTCTCGTGCTCTTCGTTGCCTTGACCCGGGAAGATTAGGGACATGAACGTTGGCCCAAAGCTCATGTGGCGCTCCTCCCGAGTCTCAGCATCTGGCGGTATCCAATGAGAAGCGCTTGGTTTATCAATTGCAAGAGAATCTCGACGGTGTCGATCTTGGTCCATGCTCCTTCGCCTTCCGGGCGCTATGGTCTGCATCCGAGGGTGATACATGGCACCCAGACCTGAAGGCCGCGGAGTTATTGCAAGACAGAGAGGGTCTTATCGGCCTGGTGCTGTTAGTCAAGGGCTGAATGCCGGCAGACATCCACCACATGGCCTTATCTACGCTGACCAAATGTGGTTCTCGATTAGCCACACCCGGTAGGCTGGGAAGCCCAGTCCCATCCGACCCTTACTTTTGCCAACATCGAGACACTGGACAGAGCCATGAAGACCGTCCAATCAAAGTTCCGAGATATACTTGCTTCTGTGACACCCTGATATCCTATCTATCACCTTACGATTAATAGCCAAGCAATGTCATATTCCCACAATATCTAATCTAGTGTTTCTATGCTGTCAGTGGCATGCTGTGTTACAAACCCTATGACTTCAAAAAGTTAATCATGCTGGGCATCCAGGATCTATTTGATATCAAATCATATATGCTATTCTTGCTATTGTTTACACTCGCCAATGTCTATCAAAGAGTCTATATATGAGATCTAATTCCCCTTAACTAGTGCTTTCCAAATCACATCTCCACTTGTTAACACACCCTAGCGGTGACATTGATATCCTACACCTATAGTTATTGATACTCTGTACAACCATTCTATCTATTGTCCTTTAGTTACATTCCACTTGGGCCACTAGCTTGGAGATGGATTCCATTAAACTACTCTTCCTCTCTCCGGAGGTCAACCCAAGTAACCGAAAGGCCAGGTCGATCCCAATACTCAACCCATTTGACAAATATGGACGGGTCTACTTCTTCTCATGGCTTGGGTTCATGGTTGCATTCCTATCGTGGTATGCATTTCCGCCTCTGGTAAGTTCTGTCTATTTTCGATGCCCAGCATTGTGTAATATAGAACCCTAACCATCTGTAGTTGACTGTCACGATCCGAAAGGACTTGAACATGACGCAGGCTGAAGTTGCCAACTCAAACATTGTTGCTCTTCTAGCGACGTAAGACATCCAGATGAATGGACCCAACATTCTAGCTGACCCACTCAGGTTACTTGTTCGATTCATTGCAGGGCCGCTCTGCGACCGCTTTGGTCCGCGTCTCGTATTCATTGGCCTTCTACTCTGTGGCTCTATCCCAACCGTGATGGCCGGGCTTGTCACCAATGCCCAGGGACTGATCGCCCTGCGCTTCTTTGTTGGCATTCTGGGAGGCACATTCGTCCCTTGCCAGGTCTGGTGTACTGGGTTCTTCGACAAAAGGATCGTCGGAACCGCCAACTCCCTGGCTGCAGGATGGGGAAATGCTGGTGGTGGCATCACATAGTATGTACTGTTCTCGTATAAGAAGCCCACAAATAACCGACTAACAAGCTTTCCTGCTCGCCAGCTTCCTCATGCCCGCCGTCTTCGACTCACTCGTCCACAACCAAGGCCTCCCAGCTCATAAAGCCTGGCGAGTAGCCTACGTCGTGCCCTTTATCATCATCGTCGCCATAGCCGTCGCAATGTTCTTCACCTGCGAAGACACCCCAACAGGGAAATGGTCCGAACGCCACCTCTGGGCCGAAGAGAACAGCAGATCCAACGCCAACATCGTCGAAATCAACTCCGGCATCTCTTCCAGCCATCCATCCAGCCCACCATCGGTAACCAACATCGTCGCAGACATCGAAAAGAAAGGAAACCCCTCCCCACCCGAGTCCATAGCCCCAATGCCGGGCCAGCTTGAAGCCCTCCGCACCGACACCGTCGTTGCCCCGACCTTCAAAGAAACCATGACGTCCTCCTCAGCCTCTCCACCGCCGCCGTCGCAATCCCCTACGCCTGCTCCTTCGGCGCCGAGCTCGCCATCAACTCCATCCTCGGCGAATTCTACGCCGAAAACTTCCCCTACATGGGTCAGACCAAGACCGGCCAGTGGGCCGCCATGTTCGGCCTTCTCAACGTCATCTGCCGCCCCGCTGGCGGCTTTCTCGCAGACCTCCTCTACCAGCACACGCAGTCCGTCTGGTCGAAGAAGATCCTCCTCACCTTCCTGGGCATCGCAATGGGTGCCTTCCAGCTCGCGCTCGGGCTCTCAGATCCAAAAAGCGAAGCCACCATGTTCGGACTCACTGCGGGCCTCGGTTTCTTCCTGGAGGCATGTAACGGAGCCAACTTCGCCGTTGTACCTCACGTCCACCCCTTCGCTAACGGTATGCTTTCCCATTCACCTCCACAAATCCCCATCAAACGAAAACAAAACTAACAATGTATAAAGGAATCGTCTCTGGCGCCGTAGGCGGAATGGGTAATCTAGGAGGCATCATCTTTGCCATCATATTCCGCTACAACGGCACGCACTACGCGCGCTCGCTGTGGATAATCGGGGCCATTGCCATCGCGGCCAATCTGGCCGTTTCATGGATTCGACCGGTGCCGAGACGCCAGATGGCATGATATGATTCTGTGCAAGGTTTCTTTTTCTAGATATGAGTTATGAGGATAATATGGTAGTAATTTCTTTTTCTCGGAGTATTTGGGGGATGGTGATGTATTCACAGGCTGGATATACATGGAGTTTTACAATATTAATATAATGGTTATATAAATTGAGTTTCAGGGGTCTATATGCTATTTAGTATATAGTTCTAATACAATTTTCTTGTCCCACTGATACTGATCTGTAATGTTGTGTAGCTAGTGTAGTGTATGCAGTCTCTATTTATTTCTTTAAATCTCGGGCTAAAACCCCCCGAGAGTGGATTCCAATGCATCAATCAAAGAACATCTATAACTTAACAATAAACCGAGGGCCCTCGTTTTCTCGAGCTTATAATATCGGCGTCCTCCATCACTCCGATACATTGAATTACTACAAATCCAACTACACCAACCACTACTGCGCAATAGAACCATAGCCAGGTAAGTTCACTTTTTCTTCCACCATCACCCAACTATGCCGTTAAAATCTAACTCGCACGAACCAGACCTTCCACCAACCAACCTTTCAGTTACCTGACTATAAAATAAATAAACACTGTGTGTTACAATAACTACGGCCCACATAGAGAACAGGAAAAATGCCCGTCCGAAGAATCGCCCAGATAGTCCACCTGAAGCCGTCTGCCCTGGCAGCCTACAAAGAATGTCACGCGAACGTGTGGCCCGAGGTGCTCCAGCAGATTAAGGAGTGTAATATTCGGGATTGTATGCAGTGACTCTGATTTGGAGAAGTGGTGATTGTGGCTAATGTGTGCTGGGTAGATTCTATCTTCTTTGATAATGATCGGACTTTGTTCGCGACGTTTAAATACGTCGGGGATGATTTCGAGGGGGATATGGAGAAGATGAAGGCCAATCCCAAGGTGAGGGAGTGGTGGGCGATGACGGATGGCATGCAAGAGAGTCCGACTCCTGGGGCTGTGGGCAGTGCGGAGGGACCTTCGTGGTGGAAGCCGCTGGAGGAGGTTTTCTATACGGATTGAAACCAAGGAACTAGAATCTTACGATGCACACCACGAAATTAATGCTTGATAAAAACTATTTCCATCCGCGGGACCAAGTCAACCGCTGCTAGAGCCGAGATTAATTAAGCCAACGCCAGACGCAGAAGATTCGTAGCTAGATATTTTCCAAAGATTTCCAGACAATGACCAGCAAATCCGGATTCCCCAAGAAATTCACTATCCAGACTCCGTATCCTTGCCGGCACATGCTCCAAATGCTATGATACAGGAACGAGTAAGAAGGATATGAAGGGTATCAGCACCAGGAAATTCCGTCGCCGCCCAAGAGCCGCTCCAAAACGCCCTGTCAAGAGAACAAAAGGATATGGAAAGGAAACTGTCGTAGCTCGTTAAGTAGAAACCGGAACATAACTGACTAGATAGTCAGCTACTCCCCAGGGGCAGGGCCTCCGGGCACATCCTTCAGGATCTCCCATCCGTACTCCTCCTCTGGTCTCTCTGGCTCCATACCAAGAGCGTTGCGGTAGGCCCGGACTTCGTTCTGGAGCCCAGCCACGACGCGGATTGGCACATTCTCTTCTTCACAACGAATCCGATAGGCAGTACGGATCATCTCTGCACATTTCATGGTTTGGTTATGCCAGTGATCACGCTCCAGGCGACTCTGCAGATGCGCATCCCGTTCGTTTTGGAGAAGATTGTTGTAGTGCCGTTTCTGCGCCAGATACTGCAAGTTGTTGGTCTGGCAGTAGTTACGGATCTGTTCCACCATTGTACCAACTGCCTGTTCATAATCCCCGATGAGCTTTGTGTTTTCCACCTGTTCGTTTCGCAAGACCTCATTCAGGCGCTTTTCTCTGGCCAGGGCGCGCTCCAGTTCGGTTATACGGGCAGCTGCGGGGTTTGTCAGTGGCTGAAGTGCGCCAATATGGAGATGAAGACTCAAGACGCTTACCGGAGATCTCGCCATTGACTTGCTGCAAGCTTGGGGAGGTGCCTTCCGAAGCAGAGCGTCGCTAGATAATCGTTAGCTAAATGCCACGTAAAGTGCAATGCCACCAAGGTTCGCGCTAGACATACCATGACCTCCTCAGCGCTGGAGACGATACTCTGTGTCATCTGGCGGTTGTTCTTCAAAACTTCGCTCAGCTCCAGGACCATGTCGTACAGATGATGGAGATCCATTTGGTGACCAGCATTCAGAGGAACCCCCGCGTTCATACCAGCCATTCCAGTACCATTGACCTGACCAGGAGTGTGAGACATGGCGGGAGACATTGACTGACGAGGCACGTTGGTCATATTGGATTGGTGACCCGCGTTATCGACGCCGCTCGAGAAGGAACCAGAGTCGGGGTTACTGCCACTATTCATGAACCGAGCCACAGCTTCAAAGTCACGGTTGAGGCTCTCTAACTGAGGGTCAACGGAGGGGTCAACCGCGGGCAAGGAAGAATCGTCGTCGAATCCAAAGCCAGGACTGTCGATGCCTAAGACGTCCCTCCGGAAGCGCTCCAAGTCCAGACGATTTACGCGAGTGGAACGCCGGCGGTGGCCAGGCACGAAAGGTCGCCTAGTGGGAGTCTCCGGGGTCGTTTCGGCGATGATGATAGGCTGGTCAGGGGCAACAACGGTCTCAGTAACGGTAGCAGGAGAGTGGGTCAAAGAGACGGGAAGAAGAAATCGTACTGTACGGGTGGAAGTGGGAGTAGTGGTAATTGTTTGTTCAGCATGTTCAGTATGTTCAGCAGGATCACCTTCAGCTGTACCGCTATCACTGAAATGGTCAAGCACCGGACCTTCGGAGGCTGAGTTCCGATCTTCCGGATCTCCATCCAAGGCGGTCAGCATTCTGCTATCCTGCGTGGTGATCCCACGAAATATAGAGAGGATGATGGCCCAACCAAATCCTAAGAACAAGGGAGGGACGAGGGTTGGCTGTCACAGTGTGAATGTGTTGGTGGTAGTGAATATGAACAAAAATATTGGAAGACAGTGCAGCCGAGCAGGTAGGGAGTCCCTTTGCTTTTCTTCTCTGTGTTTGACCTTCACTGGCACCTTCTGTGAGTGGTGCAGCTGCAGTGATTTTCGTACAATGGCCTTCCATCCCTTGCACTGCTGAAGAAAGCAATGGGCCCTGTTAAATTTAGGATCGCGCTTTCTCATTTGGAGGATGAGGAAACTTACTACTGAGTAAGATTGAGATCTACTGGTTATGTCGGCATTCCATATATTTACATTTACATCTACATAAATATAGAGTCATCATTACACCTTGACGGCTTTTCATTCTTCTTCTTCTTTCTCCTCTCTTTTATTATTCTGACCTGGTTGGCCCTCATTCCTTCGTTTTATTTTTTTTATTTTTTTTTAATTAGTTTATAT